AATGTATAGGCCTACTACAACTGAAATAGAATGTTTAAAAAACACTGAAGTACCTGGCCTCCTCCTCCTGCTGTGCCTCCTCCTCCTGCTGTGCCTCCTCCTCCTGCTGCTGTGCCTCCTCCTCCTCCTGCTGTGCCTCCTCCTCCTGCTGTGCCTCCCCTTCATCCACAGGAGCCTGGATAAAAGCCTCGTCGAGATTTTCATGGAGTCTGAGAATGTTTATAATCAGAATATAAGTTTTTTTTAAAAGATTTGTTCTATCAAAGCATCACATAACAATTCAATAATTTAACAGTAAATCTGAAACCATTAGAACCTACCTGGACAAATGGTGTTCAGTCCAAGGACCTACATACTGTAAGTTGACACAGAAGCTGGGCAAGTTGCGTCTGCACGCAGTGCAGAAACATGTCAGCCGTCTGCTCCTTAAAAAGTAGTCTGCCAGTCGTTGGACCTGAGAACACAGATAACAAACAATCAACAACACAAACTTAGGCTGTGGTTGACACTTCAAAATAAAAGACATCAAATAGGCAATAAGAACACACAATGTACCTGATGGAACTTCCTGGTGCCGACGAGTTTTAATGCTGGTCTCAGGCCGGTCTCTGCTGATGTCTGAGATCAAGAAGAAAGTTCGTGCCGAGAATTCCTTCTTGACACTCAGATTCTCAGAGGCCCACTTGAACAGATCATTGGCATGACGGATATTGACCTGTCCTCCCAGCACGGCTTTGCGTACTTGTTGAGAGAGGACTCCGGTCTCACCATCAGCCTCACCTTTTCCATGCTCGGATCCATAGTAGACCCGCTCAACCTCCAGTCCCTGGAAAAGTGAGAGGTCTGCCATGGATCCTTTTCCCTTATACTGGGAAGCACAGCCATCACTATAGAGTATGACTCTATTCAGGTTGACCAGCTCTCCCACATGCTGTATGGCATGTGCAGTAAAATGCTGCACGGCATAATGATCATGTTTAATGTCGTCAGACAGATACATCAGCACATGCCGGAAGAGCTGCCCACGCTGGTCTTTCCAATAGCACCCTATCGGGTGGAGGGTTATTTGCCTCTTGGCAAAGTGAGCAGACTTGACCTCTTCTGAGAAAGTCGCCTTCCGGTTTTCTGCAAAGTCCTCCACCATAAGGACTTCCCCTGAAATAAAAAAACATGTAAATGAATACAATACAGCTTTTGAAATTAATTTTTGTTTGTGACCAATATTAGCAAGCATAGATCTAGTGATAGTGTTCTAGATCCAAAGGCAGTACAAATTTTAATGTAAAGTGCTAGAATAAAAGAAACTTTATGACAAACCTGGTGTCAGAGAATACTTCAGCTCACGGTATTGCGTTTGCTGCCAGTGGGCAGTAAAAATATGTTCCTGAAATGTGGCAGTCTTCGTCATGTTGTCAATCCCTTGTTGGAGACACTGAAGAAGCTCTCTGAAATACAAGTGTAGATATTAATTTGTAAGTAAACTGCCTTGTATAAGCTTTCTTGGACAAGGGGGTAAGGGTGAAATACAAAATATTCCTGGTATGGTACTAAGACATCTGTGAACTTACGCCACACTCCCGGAACATGTCGTGATATCCAGCTTGCCATCCTCCCTTCTCCTTCCCCACTTGCTCCAACACAGTTGTTTGTGCTCAATTGATTGGACCAACACCCTCACCTCTCTCAGTGTGTCAGCACACTCATCACAAGTCCCTGCAGAGTAAATAAGTTGCAAAGAAAACCATTACAATAATGTTTAGTGGTATGAATGCTCTGAAGTGGGCTGAAAAAAAAGTAATATTACTGGCTGTTGAAACAAAATTGAGAAAACAATCCCTTACCAAATATACAGTCTGCCTTTGGAGTCATGGCAAATTCGCAGCAGATAAGCCTCAGCAGCTTATCCTCTGAGGGCAGGACAGGTTCCCCACTGGCGGAAAGCACCCTGTTCAGAGCCTCTATCTTGTATCTGCAAAAAATTTTTAAAAGGGAAATTATGCCCTAGCACTATTGAAGAGAGCTGAAAATGTTTCACAACACTGATGATTATAATTTTACAGCTTAACCACTTACTTTATATTAAGGCAGTACACATGCACAAGCATGTCTCTGCTGGCCCAGCCTCCGTACATTCTTGGGGCGTAGTGTCGTGAAAAGGGTGTATCCCACCTTTGATTCTCTGTTTTCGAGGCAGAATTGCCTCCAAGCCCCCATCAGAGACATAACCATCACCCGCGTGGGACCATGCCGAGTGCTATACCTCGCATGTAGCAAGGTACGGCTGATGTCAAATCTGCAGTAGAAATCCTGGAAAATAAGACAAAGCGCTATTTGGTGTGAGCTGGCTCTGGGTGAAATAGTACAGAATAATTTCAAAGTACGAGTAGACTATGCTCACAAATTATTTGCTTTACCTTCACTGCCTTGTGCCATTTCTTTTCTATCGTCTTCCTCGCCTGGCGCACCAAACCTGTGGCGACAATGCTCCGGCTGGAGTTTGGACTTGTTTTTCTGTTTAGAAATAAGAAGATAAAGAAAAAATAACCAACTTACTGGTGCAATGTCTTTTATTCTTCTATCATTTTTTTTCCTAAAAATTGGTACATACTAGAATTAAATGGGTAAAGGAAAAAACTAACTTTTTGCCGAACAGTATTCTGCGGGCTTTCTTCTGCGGCGACTTGAGAAAGTTCCGCTTTCTTAGGGCTTTCTTGAATTCAGGTGTCTTTGGGTTTGCCAGGCCCTCCACCAGTCCAGCACTCTCCGAAGGCGTTGGCAGGCGAAGCAGTTTCTTTATTTTGCTCTTTATATTATAAAGAGTCTTGCATGCCAAATTTCGAGGAGGAGTAGATGGGTCAGGAGCTGTTGAAGGTCCGGGAACTGCAGGTGGAGACGGTGGGGCATTAGGCAGAGCCTGGGCTCCAAGCTGTGGAGGAGTCTGGATGGGAGGGCAGGGACCATCACACTGTGGAGAGGGTGGAACAGGTGTAGAATTAGCCTGTGGATGAGAGGTCATGCCCCTCTCTGCATCACGCTTGGCTTTCATCTTCTGTCTCTTTTTCTCCCTGATCCACCTTTTCTTTTGAGCCGACTCTCTCGCTCTCGATTCTGCTCTTTGTCTGTGAAGAAGAACAAATATATTGTATTCAAACATTTGTTAAAACATTAACACAATTTCTCTGAAAAATTGAGCATTAAAAAAAATGTATATACATATATATACTTACAGTCGCTTGTCCTCGTGGAACTCGTCATGATTCTTGCCTTTGAGTCTTTTCCTGCAATATGTTTCTTGTACCATATATTCAATTAACATGCACAATTGATCAACACAATAATATTATTGCTATAAAAAGATGCATTTACATATCAATTACTTACAGCCTCCTGTGCTCG